ATGTCAATCCTCACCTCAATTGAGCTTTAAACTTTCCCTTCTTGGTCCAATGGTCAAAGCTTCGGTCAAGGTGGATTTGGAACTGATTCCTTGCTCAAATATGAGTGTTAAACAGCCTCTTCAAGGTGCTAGCTCAACCCCTAAACGTTGGTACGAAAACAGCCCCTAGAATGGGTGTTTTCCGGCTAACTCGTTTCCTAGTTTTCCAAGATTTGTTCTAGGTTAGTATCTAACCTTTACATCAATAAAATAACTTAATAGGGACATATTATACACTTGGAGTAGTGTATAATAGTTCCACCAATCGTTCATATCATTTGGAAAATGAATGGAAAGGTTTTGGGATTAACAACTCACTTAGAAGAGTAAATCCGTTCCTGCGAGGTTGTGTTCTGTTCGGACGATTTGGAAGCCTTACTCTACTCCGATTGATGCAAACCAGACCTTCACGGATTCCTCGTCTTGAGAGCTTTCTTTTGGTATCTCACACGCCTTAATTGGATTGGTAAAACTCGAGATATCGACCAAACAGTCTCAGCACTCTCACAGCTCGAGTTCACAGACCTCTGCTCGTTCCAGATCGATTTTTGGATGATTGCTCTCTCCTCTCGAACTGTGGCCACTCAAATATGAAAATAGACTTCAAAATCTATCCAAAGACACCTTATACACCCCATTTGGACGAGTACAACTCTCAAAATGAAGGGAGACAAAACAGCACACCTGTTTGTGCGAAAACAGTGGTGGTGGCCCCAAAATTTGATCCCAATTGTGTCATGGGCAATGCTTCTCCATGTGGTGCGGCCAAGGTGAGTCTCCTCACATATTTTCCTTGTCTTGCAGGTACTCAAGCCACATGGGATGCCCCCCAATTAATCCCAATCAATTTGGGGTCCAAAATATCTACCAATACTTCCAAAAATGGGAAGATGGGTCCTATTGTTTTATCTTTGTCAAAGATGTCTTTTTGTACTCATCCTAATTTATTTAGAACAAGTCAACTTCCTAAATCACATTATTGACCTCCAATATGTGTAGGCTCATCCCAATAATTTACTTGATGGATGTTATAGAAGGAAAATCCTACTCCCATTATTTAGCTCAAAAATGTCAAAGATGGGGTTATAGGCATTTGTATTCTTCTTTAATCCTTCGATCACTTATATAGATAATGTTGGGCTCTTTTATTTATTAATAAGTCCCGAGTAAGTATTTGCGAAACCCGACACTAATGTACGAGTTTGAACAGTACGATATTCAACCATGCACTACGTAGAACATTGATCGTTTTACAAAATGTTTGGGAATCAGAAATCCAATACATAAGCTTTGAATATTCAAATCAAATTTCCAAGGACATTCGGGTGCGGTGTCACATACCTGCAGGAGGAGGAGGCTGCTGGGGTCCACTGCATCAAGCATTGCTTCTAGATCCTCCACCATACTCTTCTTTGTAGCGCCCACCGTCGTATCAGCCTCCTGATACAAAGAAAATTACACAGATCACGACATGAAATAAATAAAAAATAAAAAAATCAGAGTTGTAGAGTTATACAGCTTCTAGCTTAACCAACCTTCGAAATTTATAATATGATCTCGTCTGCTTGTGAAGGGTAGAGCACAATAAGAAACAATGGATTACTTAATATATGCAAAGCAAGATACTAGCTATTTAAATAGAATAAGTAGCAAGAGCGATAGTATATTTTGTGCACCTCAAAGCCCAAAATTCAATCAATCCAAAAGCTATAAAATTTGCTCCCTTTGTGGGAAAAAACTTCCCCTCATTTTACTTGTCAGAACACACAGTGACTATACTGTTCTCTAGCTTATTGCTTATAAACAGTAGGATATATCATACATGATTTATAAGTACATGATACATTATGTTCATCTATCACAAAAAGATATGCATATGAATACAGGATACATATATGAATCATAAAGGCAAGACTATATAAAAAGTCAACTCTGAGTGTGCAAAAGGGTAGGGGAAGATAAGATATCGATTTCAACACTTTCTACCTGGAGCATTTATTTATTTATTTATTTATTTATTTTTTAATCATGTATACATCGTTTTGTATATCTCAACAGTCATCCTTGCCCTGATTAAAAAAAGCAAGAAACTTTGAATTTACTTCAAACAACACGAACCAAATCTTAAGAAAAATTGTGCAGCAAGAAATTTGGATAGGTCCATTTGACACCATGGCAATAAAGAAAATGTGATGGGCTGGTAAGCCAACCTCAATTAACTCTCTGCATCAGACCTATCTCCCTGAACGAACATTATGTCACAAGGAGATGGCAATCCAATGCATTTTTATTTCTTACTTAAACACGGAGATCGAGTGAAAACATGCTAAAATAAACACACAGATACTATAGGGTGCATACTCTATTGGGTATGCACTCTATAGGGTCTCACTTAAACACGGAAACCTCCTCAAGTCTACCGCCTGAACCAATGGTAGTGCATACTCTTCAATGTTGTAGGGTGAAATTAAGGATTCTATAACATGAAGGTTTCAGCTTTAATTCTTTAACAGACCATTTAAGCAAAATAACCCTCTTGGCAATTCAGTAAAGTTATTCAAGAATGTCTTGGTCAGTTTGATACCATCAAATTTCTAGAGAATCAATCGATATTCTCATAGTTCAATCAGTAATTTCTAAGAAGAGAAAAAGGAAATTTGAAAGTTTATTTAAGGATGGAGGGAGTAACATTTTTCACTCAATTTACATGTCTAAATGTCTACCGTACTTCGTATGAATGTTAAAAGATCTAAAAAGGACTTTTTAAAATCTCAAAGCAATGTGTTGGCGCTTTTTGTTGACATATAAGTTCAGTGTGTTATACGAAGTGATTGGAATATGATTATTAATTTCTAGCCTTCAAATAGTGAAAATGCAGTTTCTTAACTTATAAGCAAAAACTGGCATTTTTATTAATACAGTGAATTAGTTCCATCTTCAAATTATCTAACAAATAAAAGTTAATATTTAATTACATGAAATGGACATCAAATTAAACCAGCTCACAATCTTAACTGTAACTTAGGGCTATTAAATTAAAGACACAGCTAAAATTAGCACACAATTAGATTATTAGAGCTGATCAAACTTGAATTGGTTGAAAAAGAAAGAAAAAAGTTTACAATAAACTATACGAAGATTTCCTTTACCTGCAATCATTCCTTTACCTCCAGAATCCAGAGCCTGGTTAGTTTAAGAGTTCAATAAGTAGTCTGGGAATTCAGTGAAGCTGGAAATAAGCGTAATCATACTTAAGGAAATGGAAATTAAGAGAGGCCAATTTCACTTCCTAATCATCTAATTAATTATAAAAAAAAATTAGTATATGCAGTTCCCTAAAGTGACAATAGACCAGTTCTCACCATTAAACATTCAAATTAGGGTAACAAATTTTAAAAATCATCAATTAGGGTAAAATTTTAGAAGAAAGAGAAGCCTACCATACTTGTCTACCTAGAGTGTTTGAGAAATCGATTAAGCCACTCGTGGTTGCAATTTTGTTGAAGATTGGCTATGCGCTCTTCTAGGAAGATGTAGGGGAGAGGAGGGTGAGGAAGAACTTGCAAAGTTTGGAGGATGAAGTTCTTCTCCTTCCTTTGTCTTCCTCCTGGGTTTACTGCTCGTCGTACAAGCACACGTCTTGGCCGAAAATAATACTGAGAGGTTAGATGGATTTGGAAGGGGAGACGTAAATGTGGAAGGATTTTTATGCAATTTTAAAAAAATTAGGAAAATATATGAGGTGGAGCAACGAACCAATTACCTTGTGCCGGGTGTAAGATGCACCAAAACGTTCCGCAAGGTGCTTGCACCGTAAAATTTTCCTTTACATTAATAATTAGCACGTCAGAAACATAGGCTTTCTAATATTTTATCTTTTTGATAGGATTTTTATTGGATTTCTTCCTGTGATATTTTATAATGCAATACATTGCTATAAATGTACCACATATATATGTGAGCATGTAGAATGTATCTAATATTGGTTGGCGAACAAAGTTATATGAAAAATATTTGCATATATACAAATGAAGATTTTTATAAGAGGAAAATAATTTAAATATCCCAAACTTTGTAAGGGTATGAAATAAGTACCTCAAATTTGCGAATGTAATTTATATACCTCAAATTTTATATAAAAAAATATATTAGCACCATGGTCATATTTTTTTCACAAATGTAATTTTATGGTGTTAAGTACACAACTTAAAATATACAAAACATTTATGAGGATGCAATTAAAAATAAATTATACTCCGTACTACACATAATATTATTTAGGGAAAAATAATTAAAATACCCCAAACTTTGAGAGGGTGTGAGGTAAACACATCAAACTTGCATATGTAATTTAAATACCCCAAACTTTTTATAAAAAATTATTTTAGCACCATGGTCATGTAATATTTCTTTCAAAAATGTTAATTTTTTGTGTTAATTTCATAATTTAAAATATTTTAGCATTCGTGAAAATACAATTAACATTCTAAAATTCCGTTGTAAAATAATTAATACTACTCCCACTCTATATAATTGCAACATTTTTAATTTGTTATTTTAAAATTTAAATTATGCAATTAACACCTTAAATTTCTATTTTTGAAAAAAATTATATATAGGACCATGGTGCTAAAATAACTTTTTATATAAAATTTGGGGTATTTAAATTACATATGAAAGTTTATAGTGTTTATCTCACTCCTTCAAAGTTTGGGGTATTTTATTTATTTTTCCCTAATATTTATTTACAAAGGAATAGAATGTTAACTGCATTCGATTTATTATTTTAAATTATGCGATTTATATAGCTAGGGAGACATATAAATTGATGTCAATTGCTTTCCAAGTTAGACTTGTTGCAAGCTTAAAGGTAATAAATTGTTGATGGTTGGAAATTTAAATTTGAAATAGGGGAAACCATATGACCAATATAATCAAACATATTTTGAACAAAAAGAATTCTTCCAAAACCCCAAAGTCCACATCAATTCAAATCTTATTGTGTCAGGACAACTAAAATGTTCAGTGCAATGACATTTTGTTTTGTAAAACATGTTTTCTCTTTGTCACAAGTTTTTCTTGTCAATACTTTGTGCTAATCATAACAACATATTCGTTGCTATAATCATAGATAAATATTTCTTATTTTTTATTATCTAGCTACCAGTTGACCAAAGCAGCCTTCATATCCCTCACTTCATCCTGCAACTAATCTTTTGCATGGCCAGCCTATCTTAAGAGCATTTACCATATCCCCGCGTAAGTTAGTCATCAATGTTTGAGGATCGCACAGATATTCACTGCATCGGATCTTTGTTGCGTAAGGAGATTCATCTCTTTCTTCGTGCAGTATAGCTCTTCTCAGATCTTCTCTGCCAGTTCCTCCATGAAATGAATGATCAGTCGAACACTCGAACATCTTTCATTTCTTCTTTGCTGTTGCTGCTATATCTATGACCCCTCAGCAAAATCCTCTTGGAGCCCTGCCTGATCAAGCAAAATATATATTTGCTCTAACAAGTTTGATATTGAAAAGGACACAGTAACAAACACAAAAAGACAGCAATTACTATATACAACTATTCAAAGTATGTATATCCTGCATTCCTGCCTTGAACACTCCCTCCTCCTGGAGAAGAAAAACAATGAGTGGAATTTTTTGTTGTGTAGATTTCCTTACCACATGCCACTAAAATTGCATAAAACAAATCTTTAGTAAAAAAAAGTTAAAAAACAAATAACACTAACAGACTAGATGGCAAAGAAAGACACCAGCTTTGACATTCTTAGATGGAATGATCTTTTACCTAATTTACCTGTGTCTGCGCCCATTTGTCTTTCTGAGTCATGATCCACCAGCTATAGCTCCTATTAGTTGCCAACACAGCTAATTACAGTGTCAATTCATAAAAAACAAAAACATATGGGGACAAAGAAAAAAATAAGGAGCGCTTCTTCACCTGAGTATATTCTAACACAATGGACACTTTTGCACATTGAATCTTTTAAACTAACTGACTCAAGACTATGCTAAAAGTAGTTTACTTTCAGTTCATATGAAACACCCATGTATGATTGAAAATTAACCACTAGCGTAGCATACTAGCATAACATCCATGATCAATTTCTCAACCCAACATTTAATTCAGTCCCAATAGCATATAGTTAAATACAAATAATAGCAAGTTGTTGATGAGTAATATCTCATGTATGTAGAAATATCTCATCCAGGACTGTTACTCTAACAAAAGTTGTTGATGAGTAATATTTTTGTGCTTATAATAGAAATGCAGAACATGCATGCTCAAAGAAATACTCAGACCCAGAAATGTCTTTTTCTGAAAATTGGCATGCTCGTATCTCGGAACATGTTAGTGAGTAGTGAAAGGAGGAAAATGGTATTTTCTCATGATTAATTTTAACATGAAATCATGTCAATTCGTCAAGAGAAGTAGAGCTGACATTTTTAATTTTTAACATATATTTGGATCTTATGGTCTTTATATTAATAATTCTGAGCTCATTTGAGCACATTATTTTGAAGTGTAAAATGTGGATGTGAGCAGTGGCGTATCCAGGAATTTTTGTCAGTGGGGGCGAATTTGCATTAGTTATATCACACATGTCATGAACAATGACCACATTAATAAAAAAAGTGTAAAATCAATTAAAAATAACAAAATACTGGTGGGACAAAACTATTACGATATCAAACTTAAAATTTCATGCCAGATAAATTTTTACTTTGCTAAACAAAATTAATCACATGGTTTGTAATTTATTCAAAATTATGTTATCAATAAGAATCAAATAAGAAATGAATCAAATATTTATTTAGAATTAACTTATATTGTGAATGCACAAGCATACTTAAAAATGAATTTATATTAAATGTAAAGATACAATTGTTACACTATAATTATATTGAAGTAGTTCAAATAAGCCAAGTTTAAAATACAATTGTCTAAACTCTAAAGTAGCTTTAAATTAGTTTAAGAATGCAAAAGTAAAACAAAATAAAAAAGGCTAAAGGTGAGAATTCAACTGGGTGGGAGCTTAGAAATGCAAAAGTAAAACAAAATGAAAAGGCTGAAGGTGAGAATCGAACTGGGTGGGAGCTTAGAAATGCAAAAGTAAAACAAAATGGAAAAGGCTGATGGTGAGAATCGAACCCTAAACCAACAAGGCTACTGAAACACACGTAAAATCCATCTCCAGTCTACTGCGGCTACTCATAATTACAACCTTTGTTTATAATGTTTAATATACTTATATTTAATACCTATGTACATATATAATTTTATATTTGATATATATATAGGGGTTGGGTGGGGGTTGAGTGGGGGCGGCTGCCCCCCTGCCCCCATGGTGGATCCGCCCCTGGATGTAAGGTCTTTGGCAATTGTTGAATTGAGTTTAGTGAAACTTGAGATTAGCTCAATATAAAGATACCAATGAACATATAACAACTTCGGATTCCTTTCAGCAATACTCTTTAGACTGCCTCTGTTCTGTTTTTTGGAGGAATAAACTGGCCTCTATTCTTATTTAGCTGCAATAGTTTGAATTTCATGTTTTACAACACACGACTTGACTATTAATATATTTAGTTAGCTATTAGTATATATTGCTACGTATTAAATAAATCATGTTATGAAATTTTACTTTGAGACAAATTTTAGACATAGTAATACTTCTTAAAAAATACTCCGTAATTTTTTAATACATTAATAAATGATGGCAAAAAAACATTAAACAATAAAATGTACTCAAAGTGAAGTATGTGAAGACTGAAGAGTGTGAAGTCAAAGTGTTGCAACAATTAGAGAATGAAGTATAGTACAAATAACTAATAAAATAATTTTGAAAAAATGTTGGAGATGAATTCATTAAAAAAATTACACTAAACTTCATCCATATTTAGCATCATGGTATTTCTCAGATTTCAAAAAGACACTATGAGTATGTTTGGTTTCCCACTTCCCAGTTTTAGCCGGTGAGGGTATTAAAGTTCTCCATTATCTGTTCAAAAATTGAGAACAGATAGATGTTAAATATTTCCCTTCAATTCTTTCACTCCGTTCCCAGCAAACAAAAAAAAAGAATTTTTGTAAGATTTTTTTAAGTGCTGTTGTCCTTTTAATTTGAAAAATAAGCTAAAAGCAGAGAGCCTAAGTTTATGCCGTTCCTTAACTTTTAGATTATGATAAACAAAAGAATAGATTAACCAAAACCTACTGACAAACCAATGAAAACCACGTCAGGGTCAGGTTGTTTGCGCATAAAAACGACCTAACCAGCTAAAACTAGCTGAAAGAAACATAAACCAAACAAAACGGATACAAACCGATTGAAAACAACAGAATCCAAACGGACATAAGGCTACTCAATCCAGTTCTTGGTTCTGCATTTCTCAACACTGACCTACCTAAACTAAAACGACAAAACAGAAACCGACAAACCAAACAGACAACACCCCTTACTTTTAGGGCTCTAAAACAAAAAAATTAGTAAGACAGTATTTATAACTATCCATCATGTTCTCTAAAATTATACTCCCTCCGTCCCGTTGGAAGGTTCCCATAGGTAAATGGCACGATTTTTTAGGCAAGTGGTTAAATAAAGTAATTTGGGTAAAAAAAGAGAAGAGAAAATTTAGAAAAAGTAAACACATAAAGTGAAAGTAATTACAAGGAGATAAGTTGGGGGAGGAAAAATTGTGAGACTTGACATGTAATGAGTAGGAAAGAGAATTTTGAGTATATGTGTAAATAAAGAGAGTAAATTATTTCCTAAAATAGAATGTGAACCTTTAAATGGGACACCCAAATAAGGAAAGTGGTAGCCTTTCAAAGGGACTGAGGGAGTACTTCTCTACCATACACCCCAACTTCTGTTTGTTAAAATTTCTTTTACATTTAAACACTAGTACACTAGATATTTCTATTGTTAAACATTTTTCAATAATTTAAGGAATACAATCACTTTTCAAATGGCCCAAGCAAAACCAAACACCGTATATGGAAATTCTTTTAACTGTTCCCTATCCTCTCCCTAACCAAACATACTCGAAAACGGAATTCAGAAAGTCAGAAACAGCCTCCATTCTTACGCTTTTGAGACCCCCCACCTCACCTTAATCAAGTCCATTTTAGGAAGAAAGAAACCATAGGCAAAACACATCTAAAACGAAAAAATCGCAAGCAATTTTCTTTATAAATTAGGAAAACTTTACCTTGGCCCCCAATAAAGCAAGGAATTTATTGTAAGGTAAAGCCCTTTGCCTAAAATATTATTATTACGTAGTACTACTTTTTAATAATGGAAATTAATTATACACTTTTTTTTTTGGTAAAAATTATACACTTTAATAAAGAAGCCAATGCTTATAACCATTGAGGGGGTCTCAATAAAGCCTCATATAACACACTAAGAATGCAATGCCATGGAGTACTGAGAAGTGAAAGCGGAAAGTACCTGGATTTAACATCTCAAAACAAGAAAGTGTGATATCTTTACACAGAGGTTATAGAGAAATGGATAAATGCTTCAGTGGACCTTCTTAATTCATAATCAAGACGTACAGTCACCAATGATCCCCACAAGAACAAATCTCGTCCTTGAAATGGTGAAAGCGATTGGAGTCTCTCACCACAATTTCTCTCTCAGTCACCTTTGACATGAACTTGATGACATTATGGCAGTCACCACATATGCGTAAATTCTTGAAAATACACACTGAGCTTTTAGGAGGAGTATTGAGAAGTCCATACACGACTGCAAATCTTTCACTGTGACTTGCAAGAATGTGTTCCTTCTCATCATCCTCAACGTCTTGCAGCACAAAACTGAAGTCTGGAGTATAGCCAAGGGTTTTCACTTTAGCAGTTAAAATTCCCAGCTCCTCATATATTTTCTTATACTGCGGATGAGACTGATTACCACCTGTATAGAAAACCTCAATCTTATTCCTTATTTCAATAGAGCTCCACCCTGGGGTCTTCCTTAATCCCCTGTCTCTTGCTAATGATCTCACTTCATCCACACATTCCCATTTTCCTGAATTTGCATAAATGTTTGATAACAAAACATAGTACCCAACATCTTCTGAGTTGACCGAAAACAAGTTATCAGAGGCCAACTTACCCAACTCAACATTTCCATAAACTCTGCAAGCACTGAGAAGAGCGCCCCAAACCGAAGCATCTGGCTGTAAAGGCATCTTTGTAATGAAATCATATGCCATTTCTAGTTGCCCAGCCCTAGCAAATAAATCAACCATACACCCATAGTGCCTTAGATTGGGTTTTATCCCAAACTTTTGCTGCATCAAATCATAGTACCGTTTTCCCTCATCAACCAGACCAGAATGGCTGCAGGCAGAAAAGATTGATAAGAATGTTACACTATCTGGTTTAACCCCATCATCCAACATATCTCTAAATAGTGAAGCAGAAGCTAGACCATGCCCGTTAACTCCTTGACAAGATATCATGGCATTCCAAGGGATTGAATTATCCCTGGGAATTTCATAAAACAAAGACATAGCTTCTCCAAGTCTCCCACATTTGCCATAGAGGTTGATCAGGCAAGTACCCACAAAGACATCTAAGTGAAGACATACCTTGAATACCTGTCCGTGAATCTTCATCCCTTCTCTCAACGACCCTAAATGGGAATAAGCCGGCAAAATGCTGACCCACGTTCCTCGATCGGGTGTAATTCCCTTACAATTCTTCATCAAGGAGTAGGCTTCAATGGCCTCACTTGCAAGGCCATTCTGCGCATAGCCTGTGATGATAGTGTTCCAAGAAACCACATCTTTACAAGGGAGATTATAGAAAACCTCACGTGCATAGTCAATGTAACCCATTTTGGCATACATGTCCACTATTGCATTACCTAGCACAATATCTTCAAGTATCCAGCATCTCCTTAGGATGAACCCATGAATGGTTGCGCTGTGTTCAATATGTTTAGTCTGGGCAATACTTGAAGCTAAGGTCATTAGTGTTAATAAATCAGGTTCAAATCCACTTAGCTGCATCTCTGAAAAGCATTTAAGTGCTTTATTGGGTTGATTGTTTTGCTCATACGCAGAGACCATTGAGTTCCAAGTGATTAAATCTCGAACCACCATTTGATTAAAGAGCTTTTCCGCCTGCCCCAACTCGCCAAATTTGGCATACATGTTTATCAGTGCATTGGACACAAATATGTCCCCCCATTCTAGCCCGTGTTTTAGGGCATATAAATGAATTAGCACCCCACGTAGGATATCATTCTTTTGAACACAAATGGGAAGAATGCTTGCTACAGTCATTCCATCCATTTTAATGCCAACCGATCTCATCTTATCTAAGATACACAGTGCACCTTCAGCATTCCCATTTTGACAGAACCCAGAAATCACAGCATTCCAACAGCCCATATCCCTGAAGGGCATATCATTAAAAATCATGAGAGCACCATCACAAAATCCAAAACGACAGTACATATGCACCAAAGAGGCAGCTATAAATACATCCCATTCCAGACCTAGTTTTGAAACCCAGCAGTGAATCCTCATTCCATCAAATACATTGTGGCAGGTTTTTAAAATAGGTGGAAAAGTATAAAAGTCAGGCCGAGCATCATGAGATGACAACATTTGATATACACAGCTTAGAGCTTCACGTAGTCTGCCATTGTGAATATATGCTGATATCATTGAGTTCCAAGTGTAGGTGTTTTTCTTCTCAATCTGATCGAAACTACAACGAGAAAGAGAAATATTCCGCAGGCGAGCATAAACATTTATAAGTCTAGTGCCAGCATGAACACTTTGAACCTCTCCTAATACAATAAGAAGGGCATGAAAGCATTTTGCAGTATAGAACTCAGTGCAAGAATGGAGTTTAGTTACAATCTCTTCACTGTTTACTTCAATACCACTCAATGATTTATGATTGTAATTCCTACTAGTTAAATAGGTTTGATGATGAATCCGAAAGAGTGTCCAAGTCTTTGAAACATACCTATCCTTGCAGACTGCCAACATCCTGCAAAAGAACAATGAGGTAAGCCAAAGAGTTTGTCCTTGTTCATCCTGCTGAGTGAGAACCAGCCCAAGGTAATGAACTGAGCATACTCTTTTCCAGATGGGTGAGTCAGTGAGATTTGGGGAGGGGTTTTCATGTTTGGGATATCTGGCCTTTAAGAATTTTGCCCAAAACGAACTTCCTGTTTTCCATTTCCACCACAGCTTCAAAGTGAAAGCCTTTTCTACATCTGTGAGTGATCTTATGTCTAGCCTTTTATATATATATATATACCCCGTAGTATCTACAGAACAGCAAGTTCTATGTTCTATGTTACAATGTTACCAGGCAAATTAGGGTCAGGATCCATGGGCCTCACACTGATGTCCCTTAAAAATGAAGCAATCATGAAAAACGGGATGGGTACTAAAATAAAATGGAACTTTGCATTAACAACTACGGAGTATGACCAAACTTAATGGGCATTAATATATCTTGCTGAATGTTAAATGGTGCCAGAGAAGGCAAAGAATAGGTAAACCACAAATACAGGAAAAAAAACTTGTATTCGTCAAATCAATATATCAAATATCTTTAGCGCACAAATTTTAGCAATGCATTGGGGAACCGTTAAAACGCTTGATGGGATTTAAGGCCATAGGAAAGAAGTTGACCTAGTATATTCTTAATCCTGAGCATCTGTTTGAACTCTGCAAGTTTGCAACTCCGCAAGCGCTGAAACAGCTTGGTATGGCGGCCTGGCGGGTAAACGATTTTGGCTAAACTCCAAGAAGATGAGAAGGGCAATACTGGAAGTCTGAACTGCTGCGAAAATAAAAAGGCAAAATTGATAAGAAATCCATACTTTTGGCTATGCGCACCTACTTTTGGGGAGTGTTTGCAACTGCTTCTGCTTTAAAAAAAGCACTATGGAAATGTAAGGAAAAAGTGATTAGTAGGAAAAGTTGATAGTGTTTGAGAAAAAAGTGATTTTGAAAAGTAAAAGTTGGTGGTAAAATACATGGTACAGCCGGCTGTACCGTGCGCACGGTACAGCCGGCCCTTTTTTGGCTTTTACGCTTCCTTGCCTCGCACCAGAAGAAGATCCAGCTTCACACCTGAAGCCTCGCACCAGAAGAAGAAGATCCGGCTCCGCTTCATCGTTCGATCTAGATAGCAAAGCCCTGCCCAAAAACCTTGTCTTGATTTCAGTTTGTTTGAATTTCGATCTGTAGTGCTTGGAGTTGTGAACAACGACTTTATATTGGGTTGTGTCTGGTATGAAGCATCTGCGAATTGAGTAATTGGGGGTGTTGACTCAGGTGTTGTAAGAAGACAGTGCTGCTGAAGTGGGAAATTAACCTATGTGTGTAATACTGATTTTCAATGGAAAAGGGTCAAACACATTACAACTGAGTTTTATGTTAAACTCAAATGAGTATAAGGCTTAAAATCAATGAGCACACACAAATGAGTATAAAGCTTAAAATCAATGAGCACACATAAATAAACTTTTGAATTTTTTATACTCATTTTGTGGGTTATGTATGCTCATTCAATCTCAAATGAGTTTTATATTAAACTCAAATGAGTATACGCCTAAAAGAAATGAACTCACACAAATTAATATTGAACACATTGAAAATGAGTTTTTATGAATGTAACGCCCAAAATGAATGAGCATACACATATGAACTTTTGAATTTTTTGATACTCATTTTGTAAGTTATGTATGCTCACTAGGTACTACTTTATGCTCATTTTAAAATGTTTCACATTTCAAACGTAAAAATACTATATTAGATTCACATATTGAAATTAATTGAAATTGATTATAAACATAATTTAAGAATTTTTTATTAACGAAATATAATAAAAAGAAACTGAATTAGAAGATATGATGCAGATATCACTAGTGCTCATTGTTAGGCTCCTAATACTCAGAAAAACAAACTCAATGCTCATCCAAATTACGTCAATGCTCATTTAATAGAACCGATAAACTTCATCAAAATTACAAAAGTGCCACCGGCTGTACGGTGCCAGCCGTACAACCGGCTGTATGGTATACGCTTCCAAAGTTGATAGTGTTTGGTAAAACAAGTGCTTTTTGTGTAATAGAAAGGGGAAAAACACTTTTCACACGCAAGCCGAAAAAAAGTAAAAATTGGTAGTGTTTGATAAATAAGGGTATGTTTGGCACAACTAGCTAAAAAGATACTTTTGCGAGCTTTTTAGTAACTGTTAGCTTTTAGTGACTGAAAATATCTTAAAAAGAAAATGTGATAGCTGTTTGATAAAAAGCTGACTGTTTGATTTAGTTCGGTTTGGTATACAAGCTGTTAGGACTAATTTAGACTAAAAGTCACGAGCTTTTCTCAGATGCTACACCTGGTAGCATCTCAAAAAAGATCTTTTAATTTTTGAAAAGCTCTTAAAAAACGTCATGCCAAACATACAACTAGAGTCTTTTAAGGTCTTTTTAAAGAATAGAAAAGCTAGAAGCTAGAGTCTTTTGTGTGCCAAACATAGGGCATGTTTGGCACAACTAGCTGAAAAGATACTTTTGTGAGCTTTTTAATAGCTGTTAGCTTTTAGTGACTGAAAAGATCTTAAAAATAAAAGGTGGTAGCTGTTTGACGAAAAGCTGACTGTTTGATTTAGTTCGGTTTGGTATACAAGCTGTTAGGATTAATTAATACTAAAAGTCACTAGCTTTTCTTAGATGCTACTCCCGGTAGCATCTCAAAAAAGATCTTTTAATTTTTGAAAAGCTCTTAAATATTGTCATGTCAAACACACAACTAGAAGCTTTTAGGAACTTTTTGAACAGTACAAAAGCTAGAAGTCGGGGTCTTATGCCCGCCAAACATAGCCATAGCCTAAGTGCTTTTTTAAGCCAAAAGCTGGGAAGTGCTTTTTTTAAAGTGATTGCAAACACTCCCTTGGTCAAAGATGGACATGTATATCATGGGTCATATAGTCATTATGATTTTAACACAATTCAGAGTACGAAATCAAAATTTATACTACATGTGTCCGCAGAAAGGTTGTTTGCAAGACTCATAAGTTGAAAATGAGGATTATCAAACGGGCCCGTTAATGTTTGGGTTTATATACCCAAGTCTTCAGTTTTGTAACTTAGACACAATGTTGTAGCCTTATTTAAAACTAGAAATGGTGATGGCATAACTATTTTTTCATATAGTTTTTTCTTTGTTTTTTTAATAAAATATATTTTAGATATGTAGTATACTTTTTTTTATAAATCAGTCAATCTATCAACTTCAGGTAGAACTTTATAAATTTTAGCAGAATTAACCGATTCAGTATTTTAGTATTATCATATGTTTGGTAATACTACGTAATTAGGAAGCATAGTTTTTTTTTTGAAAGGAAGAAGCATAGTTTTAGGAAGCATCTTTTTTTAAGGGATAATTTAAGCATCTTTCATCTGTATTGACTTTTTTACTGGGTTGCCTTGCTTCTTTAAAATAAAACTAAATTTTAATATTTCCTAAATTTTGTGTAACATGTTTTAAAAAATAACTTAACTATCTTTGAAATATACTCAAATTCCTAATATAATCAGGATTAAACCTCCTAACTACTATCAAACAACTGCTATATAAATATATGGAACCCATTATGAATGCGCTCATAAGTTTCTTACAATCTTCTTATATAATAGATAATGAATCTGAAAATTGTCTAAAAATTAGTATTCTTGATTTTCAGTAACATTTTAAATTTTAGTAAACTAATTATTTTCATTTTTTATTTGTTTGACTAATTTCAAAGGTGTTGATTCCACATTACGCTCAAATATGTTACATGACTAGATTTATGATGTGAATGAATTATTTAGAATGTTTTTAATCAAATAAATAGGATCAGATTTGACTATACATTAATCGACCGTTCACGAGACTTGATCATATTTTTTATAAAATTTATATATATAATATTGTTGTCATATGAAAGATCATAAAAAGATATTTAATTTGGTATAATTTTTACAAAAATTGGAGCAAGAATGAAAAAGTTAAATTGGTATATTTGCCCATATTGTTCTTGACTCTTGTTCATCATCATTGCATATCTAATCATCAAAGGGAATTGCCTACGCATAAATGTGAAAGGTAGCCTCACATAGTCACATCCGTCGGGGTTAGACTAATCCTGGGGATAAGATATTTCTCATTTGCATTAGTTCCAGACATCATTTGTGTCTCAATAATATGTTCATCAAGTCTAGTCACTAAAAGCCAGGTGCCATTGCACAAGCCGTGCATTGCACGGGGTGAAATACTTGAATAATAATTTAGATGCAACTTTATTAAAACTAAAAAAATTAGTAGTGATCTAATTACTTAAAAACATTTCAAAAAATTAAAATAAGGCTTTATAATAAGAAATAAATGCATACACTCGATATAAGACTAAAATAACGATTGTTTACATCATTTTTATATTTGTAAAAAATAAATAAATATTGTCATAAATCAAATAACCATTAAATTTAAATACGTAATCTCGAAATATTCACTGTATACATTTAATTACATTGGAAATAGTCTTTGTGAGACATAGAAAACATTATAAATAGAGACTGTTTATGAATAACACATTTTCAACTCATCAAACCAAAAGCTCTCAATAGTGTGAGTTTGTAATGGAAAACTGAGTTAACCATCAATGAACCCTTCCTCAAAACGTTATGTACACGCATTTTTCATTATCTCTAAGGAACACTAAATAATCAGCTTCTGGTTGGCAAGTTGGAGGAGCCAGAACCACCAGTGGATGTAAATCTCTCTGCCGTTATCCTTAATTCATCTATATATTTCTTATTGGACTTACAGCCTGAGAGAACAGCAAATAATGCATACATGTAGAATTTAAAGTGGACCATCACAAATTGGAATGAGTATCCCAATTCCTATGCGGTGGTTCTAGATCAACTAAAGTCTGACCTAACTGAAAACACAAATAATTTGAATGAATCAATAATGAAGGGTTAATGACTACATGTAGTCAATAAAAATATAACTGCTATGCTTAACATCAAATAATGGAATACTGGTAGCTTTAGCTAAGTATTCATGAAACTCTGATCTTAATTTAAAACTATAGCCAAGTAACATCAAATTATACAGAGTTAATAAAAACATAACTCCTTGATATAATGAGTGTTTAACGTCTTTCTTAAAGCACCTTCATGATAAACAAAATCACTTTTGCGGTTGTACCTGGTTACCTCTACTACCCAAAGCTAAAATAAGTTGATTTTGGAGCTTTTCTAAAAAAACTCTAACATAAGTTGATGCAGCGCCAAGTAAGAAAGGCCTGGAGCAAACACGAATTCCCAATGACTTGTCCCTTCCCCCAATGACGGATCTGCACAGCTACTTTAAACTCAAAGTTAACACTAATTCATAGGCTAGAACATTGTCACGGCATCATCACCTCACTGCCCATTCTAGGATCTCCCTCCCCACCCCACATCCACCCATTTTATCAAAAGATTTGTTTAAATCATCATTGATGAAAGATTTTAAATATATGTTTCTCATCTTGATATAAGAGAACGTACAATCAACTATGGAAAAGTAATAATAAGCTTCCTACCTTCTCTGTTTCAACCGTTTATGCATAGGGAACACAGGGAACACATGGCTGTAAGCATTTGTACTGACATCTTGTGATATATAGATGAGGTCTTCACACGAAAATATAGATTTAGAAAAAACGAAACCAACTTCAGCCTATTGCTTTCTTAGTATGCAAAAAACTTTCATTCATAAAATTTATGCCTGATATGTTTTAGATGAAAAAAAGATACATTGTTAATTGAATTAGAGTTACCATGTCACCCAGACTTCATAAAAGAAGACTACACTTAATAAAAAAAATAGAGAGAATACATTGCTCAAAACTATAGTTTGAGAACAAAACTCAAAAGCAAAGGGTGATCTTGTTTTGCAAGTAAGAATCATAGAATCTGAGAAAACACGGATTGATTTGTGATGCACTAAAAGATGCCATCTATGAATCTCATTCTTTCTCAAATGAGTTTAAAGCAACTATTAAGCAACTAAAAACATCTAGTGTTATTTTAAGAAACTTACAGTTTGTTCAATGTTTTAGTGAACTTAAAAATACTAATCTGGTTGATCTAGAGCTCAATTTCAGATGAGTTTAAAGCAACTAACAAAATCTTGTGTTATTTTAAGAAACTTACAGTTCAATTTTTTAGTGAACTTAAAAATACTTTAAGAATACTAATCTGGTTGATCTAGAACTCAATTTCAAAATGCTTTGAAAATAGGTTGTGTGTTCTCAAAGAAGACCCACCCATAATCTGATAATACTCATGCTGAGAATACTTATAATATTACTATTGTGCTTTAAAATTTTGTTTACTTGTGAGTAATTATGTTCATTCAATATGCCTTGTTGAGATTATGTTCATATTCTACCAAGAAGTCCCTGTGCCTAATAAAACACCATCCAGGAATACTCTTAAATTGTGTATTCTCAGCCATTCTTCTTGACTTTTTGTTTCAATGAAATCAAGCTTGGACATTTTGCTTTAAATTCTTGTTACTTGTGACTAATTTATAAAGAATACCAAGAATGTTAATACAGAATACCAAGAGGAAATAAGTTTACATATGATAATACTATTCTGTAAATAATTATTTCATTTTCTTTCAGAAATTAATTTGCTTAAAACACACCACCCTGAGTTACAGTACATGGTTTTCTGATACATCTGCTCGCATCCATCTGTTTTCTTCTTGCTGAGGTTCATAGACAAATTATTATATACGTTTTCATAAACAGGCTCTGTGACAAAAATGATTCATTAAGCTAAATTCAATACTTCAAAAACACCAGTGGGAATTTTTGTCAAAAGAATCATAAAAAATGCAATTCTGTTTTACAATTTTTACTCAAGTAAATGCATTTGAAGGATTCTTGTTTTTCTAATGAAACTGAAAAGAACACTCGGAACATGTAAACGAAAAGCTTCTAATCAAAATGATAAGGGAAGGGAAGAAGCATCAAATTTGCAAACACATTGAATTACTCAAAATGATTTGAACATGTAATAGGTGTTGTTTTCTGAAATAATGACCTTTTGTGATGGCTTTATGCCCATTCCGACCAGCTCCAAGTGGAAATCCCATGGTTCATCGATCGGACTCCTTCATTGTCTCAACTAAAGCCCATGCCGACCAGCCCCAGAGTGAGACAACTAAAGCCGTGGATAAAGGGTTTGGTCAATTGTCTCAATAAAGAAAATTTTCTATGTATTGGTCTGGACAGAGATTGATGAGGATGAAGAAGGCTTGAAAATGGAGATGGGAAACGAAGAAGACCTAAAATGGAAGGATATTACTAAAGATGTGACGCGGCGATTGATTTGGAGAAAGGGGTGAAGCTAGATGAAAGGTGTAAGATGTTATTAATGGACGGTGTAGATGCTTAAAAACATTGAGCGGGATTACTGTTCAATGAACAGTAATGAACAGTAATTACTGTTCAATGAACAGTGTTTTTTGGTTGTGATTTTATGTATAGTTTTCTTGGTGTACACGTTTTTGTACCCATCAGTACACGCATGTGTCTGTGAGAGTTTTTTTTTGTCTGTGAAGCGCGGTCCACAGACATAAGTTCGCTTGTTTTGTCTGTGGAAAATTTCACAGACAAAACAAACCAGCTTTTGTCTGTGGACCGCACTTCACAAACAAAAAAAACTCTCACAGACACATGCGTGTACTGATGGGTACAAAAACGTGTACAAAAGGAATTTTCCTTTATTTTATGTATAGATGTATAGATTTCCGAGACCGCTATCAATATAAAGTTTCCCAAATTAATTTGAGACAAATAACTTACAGCTAAATTGTTGCAGGAGTAGTCTTTTCACTCTTTTGCCACTTCAACCGCTCTATGTCCTCAATCATGTCATTTGACGAGGGAGTAATTGTGTGGGGACGAAAGCCTAACCCGCACTACTAACGACATCTTCTCTGCTTAGAAAAAAGAGAAAAGCTTGTGTACACACATTAGTACCCACTTATCTACACACTATAAAAAGACTTTAATTTTTTACCTTCATTTAATTTTTTTACCCTTTCACTTCCCACTTCCTTCTCTCACATCCCTCCTCCTACGCATCTCATCTCACTCCTCTTTCTTCTTTTTCCTCCTTATTTCATTTGTTCGTTTCTCAGCTCCCATCAGCCGCATGGTTGCCGAATCGACATAGACAACGAAGATGAAACAGTCCGCTCAACTAGCCCATAAATCGAGGTAAGCTATTCGATTTTTCTATATGCACTTTAGGGTTTTGTTTACTTAAAATTTCTGATTATTTGTGTATAATGTATGGTATAACACTGATTAGTTGAATATTTTGTATTATTGTAAGAGAATGTAGGGTTAACTATTGAAATTTTAATTCAATTACTCTATTTCACATTTATGTTCATAACATGTTTGTTGAAATTACTCAATGATTTTTTTTGTTTAAATCCAAGACTTTTAATCTCCTCTTTTTTGTGACTGGTCCTTTTTTGTTAATTAGTTCAAGATTCTAATTTTCTTGTTTCCCAATTTGAATAATGATATAGCTATTTTTATTGACTATTTTATTTCCTATTATATATGCTTTTATTACTAGTTTTTGTTTTGCAAGTTGCTTCAAATAAGTTGAAGAGTGGGTGGCTGGAATTTTGCATTTTTGTAGATATGTAATAACCATGTGTGTCATCGACTATTACTTCTTTATTATATACAAAAAATACTACGTATATCATATGATAGTTGCATGGGAACAATATATACGGCGATACTTGTTGTCTGCAAAGAACAAACCAATCTTAGGAGACCTTTCTAATTAGCAGTAGGTCTTCTATGCTTCCTGTTTTTAAGGACCTTGTGAACCCAAATTAAAATACTAGAGTATAACCTGAATAGACTACAAATACTATGAACTTTTGAATAGACTGGATTGCCAGTTAGGAATCACAAATGATTGTCAAGTTGATCTTTGTTGTTTTACAATGCTTTAAAAAATTTAAGCTTGCTTTTTAAAACCTTTTATATTTTGTTTCAGGCTGTTTCAAATTGCTAGTGGTGCATGAACCGGTTTCCTAATTCATCTAATGAACTAATTAGTAAATATCAGGAGGTTCTTGTTATTATGGGCTACTAAAGTGGTGCTTATTGTTGTCTTGATGTGGTGTGAATGTTGAACTTGTGTATATATTTTGTCTTTCTGAGTCAGTTTGGTGATTATTTAATGGGAAGAACAATTTGACAGTTAGTAGAAAACTAGAAGTTATCCTAAACCTTCTGACCTTTAGAGAGGTAATCCATTACTCATGCTTTTCAAAATTGCATTAGTATGCCTCTCATGTCTGCACACTTCTAGGATTGTTGATTCTGAGAAGTGTCCAATTGTGCAACACGAATTTGATGATTCGGGTATTCAGGCATTCAACGCAAAGAATAAAATACTCCCTGTTGGTTTTTATGGGGGTAATAAGCAAGGGCTGCTATATGTGGGGTTAATTTTTTGTCATGGCCTTTATAACAATCAGTTAGATATGTGTAGTTATTCACAAATTAAAAATATTTGTACCTTAACACTACTTATGAAGTACAGAACTAGTTTATCATCGAAACTCTAACAGTTTTAAATTAGAATCAGGTTCAAAGATTTAAACAATTAAAGCATGTATGTTTTCACCTCATGTTAAATGTATGAAAATATCGAATATTGGACGTTATGTTACTCATTAAATTATCTTTTGCAGGTATGATTGTTGATGAGATTGTTGATTTACATATAAGCCCAAGTTCCAGACGGTGAGGTCGGATGAAGCGGTGAATGAAAATATGGAAATGTTATTGCTATTAATCTTGTCACTAATCTTTTGTATTGGACGTGTATTAGTATTTAGTGACGTTGGGTTGGATAAGTGAAGTGTTAGTAATTGTATGGACGCAATAAAAAAGTATCTTGTAATTGTAAGTTGTTTTGTTTGGATGCAATAGTGTATGCGAACCAGATATGAATTATTTGTTCACAAGCAATAGTTACTTAAACAAACTAATAAGCCGACAGGAATTGTACGTCTTTTGAACTAGATATGAAGTGACTTCTCATAATTTTCTATTCCAATTGAAATTGTGAAAAGTTGTCTGTGTTCATTTATATTGTCTGCGTTCATTTATATTGTTTGTTTGTGCTTGAAATATTGTTCGTGTGATCATTTTTTTTGTTTGTGCATAGAAAATTATTGTTTGTATGTTCATATATATTGTCTGTGCGAGATTAAAAACATCGTATGTGTGTTTATTTGTGTGTTTATTTATATTGCCTGTGCGTGGTCAAAACGCTGTTAGTGTGTTCATTTGTTTTGTTTGTGGTTTAAAAATAATTGTAATTTGTAAATTTTAGATTATGTAATTTGGCTATAATGTTGGAGTGTATATTCAGTGTTTGTATTTCACTTTTATTTTGACTTTAATTAGACTTTTATTGTTTGAGTTTTCAAAATGTATCTTTTGTATTCAAAGAATGACTTTGAATTTTGTCGAAGAAATTGAAATTATGCTTTTCGTAGATTTTTTAAGTTGGCCGAAAAACTAAAATGAAGTGAAGACATAGACGGTGTGGGGTACACATAAAATAAATAAAAATACATTTAATCACACACAGACAATATGAATGAGGACATAGACGATATTTGAACTTTTGAAGTATGCACAAATAAAATAAACGTTCACACAAACAATTATTGTCTAAACACAGACAAAATAAATAAACACATAAATAACTTTTTTGTCAACACAAACATTATAAATGAAGACATAAGACAATGTTTGGACTACGTACATACAAAAAAAAAACAGACAATGCTTCAACCACAAAGACAATAAAGTGATTCGTGACTACGCCCCAGCAACTCATACCGGCATTTCAGATATAAATACCAAATACATATTGTCAGAAATGAACTTTCAAGCTTATACAAGTATTGAAGGTCAAAAATGCGAGAAACGAAAGATGAATTTTGGGGGATGAGCTTGGGTGAGATTTGGTTCCGTAATGCTAAGACCAGTTAGCAGTACTCCTTACTCTAGGAATGCTAGTACTCTCCTTTTTGGACTCTCAGTCAACTTCGAAGGTGCCACCAAACATCTTGCTCGGTTTGTCCACCCACGACACAACTTTTAGCTCATTTAGGGGTGCACATAGCTCCTTAAACCTCCAGAAGAAGTGAAACAACATCCTGAATATGAAAACAATAAATCACATATGAGTATTCCATTCTAAATATACTTTTTATCACAAGAAATCAAGGTATAGCAAGTGTGGTACACATCTTCCACCCATCAAGAAGAATGAGTATGAGTACGGTATTCCTATATAATTGAAGGAAAGAGGGGACGAGCTTTTTATTCTGGTTGAGAAAATGCACAAATGGTTCTGATCAATAAATACATATCTATTTATAACATCTCATCATAAATAAATCATAAGGAAGGAGGCATCATCAATGCGTACAACCAGCTTGGATCAAGCACTGCACACGCAATCTGGGGCAGGGTATTCCATCCTCCTCATCACTTCAAAAATATATCTGATCCATTTATAACTGAGCAGCGAAAAGTTCTTCAACCAAAAACTCGTAAACCGAAAAACCAGCCTCACAAAATCATTCATATACAAACTACCTTAAAACACTTAAAAACATAAAAAGGTTCACTAAACAAACTAAAGTCTAATCAAAACCTTTAGTACATAAACATGTAAGACTGATTTCTAGGACCTAAACATTCATTTCTATAGGTTGAAAAAAGATTGACTCACTACACTGCACGTCATATAATTGCTAGAAGTAAATATTTATCACCAAAGTATACTAAAATTGTTCTTCACACGGAAAAAACATCAAATGGGTACAACAAATATATAAAAAGAAATTTACTAAAGCCATCTTTCCCAAAAATCTTAAATATGAACAAGAAATTTATCGAATCACTTTAAGAAACATATAATGGGCATAAAAAGAAAATAGAATAGTTTTAACTAAAGTTTTAATGATTGACCTCACAAACCTATATCAATGAAAGGAAGTAGTCAAAATTCCAACATGATAACATATACAGAGTATAATTTACTTAAAATAACAAAAGCATACTAATCAAATAAAATAGTCAATAAAAAAATATCATTATTCAAGTTGGGAAACAAGAAAATTAGATTATTGAACTAATTAACAAACAAGGAGAGTAAAAGCCTTGAATTTAAACCAAAGAAATCATTGAGTCATTTCAACAAACATGTTATGAGCATAAATGTGAAATAGAGTAATTGAACTAAAACTTCAATAACTAACACCACATTCTCTAACATCAATACAAAATGC